GGGGATTTTTTGAGGTAACTGATTAGTCTGAAGCAATCAAATCAAGAAGTGTTAGCTGGTTAACCGCAGTGTTGATTTTGGGGTACAGTGGGGGGGCTACACGTGTGTGTCAGTCAGTCACTGGGAAAAGGGGGAGTGTTGTACCTGTGGCTCCACCACTCCCAAGTTTCAAATAAAGCCTTTTTAAACTCCGTCTGTCGGCCTTATTTTCCCATATGGCGTTGCAATCCGGGACTCGATTCGGAATGCCCTGGGTGAAGGGCACCCCTCTCCAAGGACACCCCTGCTCCTCTCCCGTCTTCAAGGATTCGGGGAGAGGGGAAGGTGATGCCGCAGGTGTCCCCCCGGCCGGAATTCCGCGCGCTGTTTCTCCCTGCTCCGGGAATCTGGACGAGCAGGTCCGAGCGCCCCCTCGCCCAGGGCCGCTCCGCCCGCGGGGACTGGCGTCCGCCCGGACGCTGGAAGGGGTTCGGGGGGAGGGCAGGCGGAGAGGAGGCAGAGTGACGCCAATTATTATTATTATTATTATTAAAGAAGCGCCTCTTGTTCTCGGTTGTAAAAGCACTTCCAAGTCGTTCACACGGGTGTCCTCTGGTTCGTGTTTCGCTCTCGGTACTGAAGAAGTCCACTGGGTTGGCTCCTGCTGTCTGACTTTGAAACCTTTCTTGTGTTCTTAAGATGGAGTTTGCTTTTTAAATATGCCATAAGAAACTTCCGACTTCCAGCTGTTGACAAAACATGGACCGAATGATAAAAATGTCAGAGCAAATTGGATTATCAGCACAATGAGCGTGTCAAAACAAAGTGTCTCAAAGCATTGAGACTGAATTCAATTTACAACGTTATAAATAAGCATATTCCATGCAACGGTCTTGGATGAGACTGTAAAAATATCTGCTTTGTTTTTTTTTTTAAAAAGATTATTTATTTATTTTTATTTATGCTTAAGTATCTGCTCTGTTTCACAGGCGGTACAGCTACTCGTACGACTTTAAATCGAGTTTTGTTTAAAAAAACATTACGGAAGTAGGACGCCGTTTTGTTTGACGGACGCGTTCCTCAGCCAATGAAACTGAAAGGACGTCGTCGCTCTCGGCCAATCGGCTTCCAGGAAAGGCTCTCAGCTGCATCTATCGGAGAAGGGGGAGGGGCGGTGACCTGTGTGTGATAGCATGACGGGAAGGTGTAGTGAAGTTAGCAAAAGTGGAAGTGCTTGAGAATTAAATATTTGTATTTCGGGGAGCCTGCTGAAATGGGGGTCGAGGTAGATTTTAATTTGGCTGACGTCTTCTCTTACGAAAGCCTGGTTCACGCCGTAGCCGGAGCCATGGTGAGTGATTTTAGGGGCTGGATTGGAGCCGCTGTCCCGTGTCCTGATGTCCACACAGCTGGGGGATGTGTTTCCAGGTGTCGCGGTCTGCGTGGAAAATGTTCTTGTTGTTGGTTTTTTGAGGGTCGTGAAAGGATGGCCGGACGGGTCTCCACCTGTCCGGGGTGGCGATTTAGCTGGCTCGCAAATACACACAAAAAAAGATAGTTGAAAGTAGTTAAAAAAAAACGAGGGACGTGCAAACCCCCGGTCACGCGATCCTCTTTTTTATCCCGGTTCTGCTTGTTACAGGCGAGCACGAACCTCTGTGAACGTCGGCGACTCCGAGCAGTGATGGGCTTCTGAGCTCCTAAAATGAATATAAAAATAGGGCTGGCAGGTTACGGCGCAGAAGCACGGAGGGGGTCGAGGATTAAAACCGAGTTCCTCTGGGGAGAGTCCGGCCTGTGACCCTGTGCGCTCTCTCTCCCTGCGCAGGGCAGTGTGACGGCCATGACAGTCTTCTTCCCCCTGGACACGGCCCGCCTGCGCCTGCAAGGTAACACTCGCACAGCACCCAGGGGTCCCCAGGCCAGCGGGGTCGAGAGGTCACGCAGTACCCCGGGGGTCCCCAGGCCAGCGGGGTCGAGAGGTCACGCAGTACCCCGGGGATCCCCAGGCCAGCGGGGTCGAGAGGTCACGCAGTACCCCGGGGGTCCCCAGGACAGCGGGGTCGAGAGGTCACGCAGCACCCCAGGGGTCCCCAGGCCAGCGGGGTCGAGAGGTCACACAGTACCCCGGGGGTCCCCAGGCCAGCGGGTTCAATAGGTCACGCGGTACCCCAGGGGTCCCCAGGCCAGCGGGGTCGAGAGGTCAC